TCGAGTATCGTCATTATCGATAATAATCGACATTCCTACTGTCCATGGAACAATTTCCAACAGCCATAAACGAATACCACGATCATGCGTTCAGCTTAGCGAGTCGTTAACGCCACATTAACGTCGCTCTTCGCTCATCTACGTGCCCGCGATCTTAATGAGAGGTGCTCACCTAACAAGTTTCACTGTTTAATGGTTCGTCGAATGTGGCCTGGAAATTACTAACAGATGGTCAAACTGATTTTCGAACTCCCAATCGAATGGAGAAATCGATTAAGAAATACAATTTTATTATTTTATTTTAAAACAGGTAAAAGATGTTTGGGAAATTTTGATATGATGATTTATTTATTGACGATTTTTATTTTCAGAAAGAAAAATTTCAAGAACATACGATGAATAAAAATAATAATTTTAAAGAATTTATAAAGTGTATCAAATGTATAAAATATACATTATACAATATAAATGTTTAAATTTTTATACAGCGTAAAGGAATAATAATAAAAAAGATCTATTTATTTTAAAATTCTATGGAAAAGATAGACTCATCATTTGTACGATACAAGCCATAGATAATTATATTAATAATTGATTATTTATTCTTTTCTTCGATTTAAAAGCAATTCAAAGTATTTAATAATTAATTTTATAATATATTTTTTTTTATTATTATGATAAAACAGTGTAATAATGGATGTTGATTGCAGCGTGTCAACAGGTCAAATACGGCGTGCAGGCGGTATTCGGGCCATCGGATCCCATTCTGGGGCAACACATCCACAGCATCTGCGACGCACTGGATATTCCACATTTGGAAGCCAGGCTGGACCTGGACACAGAGGCGAAAGAGTTCAGCATCAATCTCTATCCCGCACAAAGTTTGCTCAACGCCGCTTATCAGGATATCATGGAGTTTCTCAACTGGACCAAGGTCGCCATTATCTACGAGGACGATTATGGTAAGTATTTCTTTTATTATTTCCCATCTTAATTATTCTCATGAAACATGAAATTATTTCATTTTAGGTTTTTTAACATATAGTTCTTCATTTGATTAAGCAAGATTAAGATTTTTTTTTTATAAACTATTATTTCGTAGAAATAATTTTTAATTTACTTCTTCTATTTTTATCTATTTTTCGAGACAATGGTCTGTAATATTAATTCGACTCAACGATTAAATTAAAGAGAAATTCTAATTTAAATGAGGATTATAAGAGACATAGATATTCGAAACAAGGGAAGCATTAATTTCACCCATAATCCCGGTTGGATTATTAATTTGCTTAACAATTGCTGCTGAAGAAAGCCTCTCAATTAGCAACAATTAAGATTTCAGCAAATGGAATAACGTCGATTAATAAACATCCTTGTGAAAAACCGAGATAACGAAATTCATTCGTAATTAGAAAACGTTGGCCGGCGAAGAAAACGTTTAATTAAGCGAATTTCGTTTAATTAATTCGCGAAATGGCGATTTTAAACCAGGATTCCTTCCGGCGTTTTCAAGTAATTGCACACTATTCTTTGGTACTCTCGATCTTCGACGATGAATAATGTAAGGAGTTGAATGGAATTGTGTAAGATGCACGTGCGCGCAATCGTGGCATGGTTCCATTTGGATCTATAAGGCAATAAAGACGGAATATTTATTGACATTTTCTAAGTTTCTCAATTCCAATTCTTGGAGATGTCAAAAAAATGATGATCCACTTTGTTGCACGGTAAATCGAGTAAATATTTAATTTTTATGTTAAAGTCTGAAAAAGATTTTCAAATCCAGTTTTTTTTCTGCCTTCGAATTTTATAATTTAAGCTTTAAAAAATTATTTAACAAGGTAATAAATCTAACATTGATTTAATTCTATAGAAAAGATTAGAAAAGATCAGAGAATATTTCCATCAAAGCATAGAATACTTTTGAGAATTATATTTGGGATAAAAGCACGAGTTGAAATAAATTTCAAAGAGTATGAAAGATTTTTCGCGCTTATTTTACATGGAAAGTATTCATATTAGCTCTAAACGGCTCTTAGTCCATGTTCAAGCTGAGCTACAATAGGGATGCGTAAATTTAACCGCTATGAGTATCGACCGAACGCTCGTGCTGTAATATTCCCGTGACAGATTGTTACAGTACGTGCGTCGCCACCATTTCGTGCGCAATGAACGTGGCTCTTCCCCAAGCTAGATCGAGGATTTCGTTGTCACCGAAGGGTAAATGGCATATTCGTTGTCAGACAGGTATCCAGTAGCCTATTTCGAATTATAAATGTGGCAGACGTACACGTTCCACAAAACGAATAATCTGAATTTTTTAGAATAGATTTTCTAAAATAAATAAACTATATATTATCACGTTTAATTTAATTCATGTTTCCATTCTCGGAATGATATTGGATTCTTAACGAATACAATAGAAAATTTCTCAAATAATTTCAAGACTCGATGAGATTTGTGGAATCGAATAGAGAAGAAGTGGAATGAAACGTTTCTGTTTGAGACAACAGTTAACAAAATCAGAAATTGAAACCATTATTATTTTTTATTAATAACAGTAAAAAAATTAATTATATAACATATAATTATAAATATATTTTATTCCTCTTATGAATTGATTATATTAAAAGGGATATGGATATTTATAAATGAAATAATATGATAAAATGAAGTGATATTGATATTAATAATTAGATTGCAGATTTTTATGCAGCTAAAACATGTTCAAATATATAAAAAATATTTCATATAATGTCATTAAGATATACTCAGAAAATAAAGAAAACCATGCCATTGAAATCCCTTTTTGATTCATCTCGATATCTCAATTGGTTGCCGAGATATAAGTATTTGAAGTCTCCATAGCGTTTACACAGTGCAGAAGTTATGAATGGATCCCTGACCTACATTTTTTCCCTAGAAACGCGTACTACGTCCTTCCAGGAATTACGTCTGCCACTTGTCTGGAATTTAGAATAGGTCAGTGACACGAGGTGCGAGCGAGAGGTCCGAGTAAGCGATAAGGAAGGAGATATTAAACGATTAAAAATTATCCTTGTCTTTACACGACGATATCTCGAGAACCGGAAGTCGGATCGGGATAAACAAAAAAGCATTTTAAAGAGGAAGGTTCCGCGCTTCTAACGATCGTTCACTCGTTGACCGGAAGTCAGTATCTTCGGAATTACAGCGATGCAAAGTTTTGCTAATTTTAATAGAGTTTAATCATGTTTTAGGTAAATGATTAAAAATTACTTTCTCTTTACACGATGATATCTCGAGAACCGGAAGTTGGATCGGAATAAATGAAAGAGCGTTTTAAAGGGGAAAGTTCCACGCTTCTAACGATCGCTCACTCTTGACCGGAAATCATTATCTTCGGAGTTACAGCGGTTCAAAGTTTTCTTAATTTTAATAGAGTTTAATCATGTTTTAGGTAAATGATTAAAAATTACTTTTTCTTTACACAATGATATCTCGAGAACCGGAAGTCGGATCGGAATAAATGAAAGAGCGTTTTAAAGGGGAAGATTCCACGCTTCCAACGATCGTTCACTCATTTGACCGGAAGTCAGTATCTTCGGAATTACAACGGTTCAAATTTTTTCTAATTTTAATAATGTTTAATAAATTTAGGATAAATTGTTATATATTTTAATCAACTTTCAATTATCAATAACTAAAAAAACAATATCTCTATTTTGTCTTCCATTTTCGAATTATAAACATGCAAGTATATTCGTTTTACAAAATAATGATAAATTAAATTTTCAGTTGACCAAATTAAAAATTCATCCCTCGAACGATTCAATGGAAAAAAAAAAAAAAATTTTAAATTAGAACACGAGCCAATACGTGGAAAGTTTCACAAACACTTTCCTTTCCAAAGCTCAAAGAGATTTGAACAAACTTAACCAAATAACCGATGAAAACACGTTTCGAGCTCAACCAACGTCTAAACCAACGAGCTTATCTATTTGCGCGAAAGTTATACGTGCAAGCCGATTAGAACACCCAACCCAATCCACCCCCTTTGCGCCACATCCGTCACCAACCGAGGCCAACCGTCCCCTATCCGTTTCCAAACTGATTTCCAACAGAGATTTATCCGAGCCCCAGAATTTCCGTGTTCCTTCCATTTTCAATTCGAGTCAACGTTGCCCACAGAAAATAACGAATCCTTGCTCCCCTGTCGAAACGTCTTCAATCCTTGTTCAAAACCACCGACTTCTCCTTGTACAAGGATCTGGATGATTCTCTGACGAATCCCTCTCGACCAACTTTAATCCCTTTTCACGGAGATAGGTTTCAACTTGAAACCACCGATAAACCACCGTGCATAATTTAATGATTGGACTTCGATTAGAATCCAACGCAACGAAGTATATACACTCGAATGTATACTTCTTATACGAATCCATTAATCCATCTCCATGATAAATTCAAAAATTCTCACGAAAATTTACGAAACTGGCGGAAAATATTTTTAAACTTGGCAACAAAATTTCCAACGTTTCTAATAACGGGCTTTAAGGCCCCGCCCTTCGTTATTTCGTGCCGCCAGCGTTAACCCTCGTTACTCAAGCCTGCATCTTCCATCGGGTGCCGTGTACCGGAAGCGAGTATTCATTGTGAGAAATTCCTCGAGGTGGTGCGCTGTTTAACGCGCGTGTTAATTTCGCGTCTTTGATCTCACGCGCTTTATTAAAGAACCACGTTAGAATTTTCCTATCCTCCCCTCACTTGTTTTCAAACTCATTAAGATTCTACGCGTGAGGATAAAATGTTCGAAAGTTATATAACGCCTCGCGCATCCTTTCCAGACGACATTCTTCGCCACGAACGTACGCAAGTTTTCAAGTTTGACGAAGAATTTGCGTTTAATTCAAATGGTGTTGTCACGAAGCCAACTTATATTGGGAAAATGAAACGATGCGAAGGATCATTAAATTCGTAAATTCATGATATGAAATATTTAACAGATAAGATTCGGAAGTGTTATTGGTCGATTTTGGGATAGAATTTGGAACATTTGACAGAGATTTCAAGAGTGTAATTTTAAGAAGAACGTCCATTTGATGAATTAAAAATTATATTATATATTAAAGTCGATTAAAATTTAATTGTATTGTATTTTTCAGTCTTCAACACGTGTAAGATTTAATTTCAATACAATCTGTGTATAAAAGTACTAGCTACATAGCCGGTTATAAATAAATTTAAAAAAGTAACGCACGTAAAATTTAAAAAAATTACAGAGAAGAGCAGAGTTATATAGTAAAGCATTCTCTTTCAATAGAAACTGTGGCAAAACTGGTGTGAAAGAATGTGGAATTTTAAAATTTCCCTCTTTTCTCAGGCTTCAAATCCCATTATGAAAATATTTCTCTCTTTTTCAAATTTTTTCAAAGAACTAATATTTCAAAATTGTTTGTAAATGTGAATTATATTTTCCGCAAATTTAATCCAATTTTCTTCAACAACAATTGAACTATTCGATTTATAATGAGTTAACAACCAAGAAATAAATATATCAATTTCAATTTGCAAATTATTAATAAATCAATCTATATTATTGATAATAAATGATTGATCAAAGAAGAGTGACGGAAATAATTGATAAAAATCGAACAATAACAAAAGTACAGCAACATTTCCATCATTCTACCCATTATCAATCCTTTCTTCCGATCTTCTCGATATTCCGAATTGGCGCATCTCACTCCAATGTCCCGGACAATAGAAAGAATGCAACGTCGCATTTTAAACCGCGAAGCAAAGGAACACCCTCCTCTCCATTCCCACCCAAAATATACAATACCATTCTCGATATCTCGATTCGAATCACCTAAACTAAAAATCCATTGAAAACCTTATTCGAGAGTTTGCATTCGAATTTTTGACGGATTACCACCGTTTCCCGTATTATGGAATACAGCAACGCTTTCAAACTCCATTC